CCAAACAAAGCCGAACAAGCAATTGACTATTCAAACTTAATTTGAGAACTTTAATGACTTGCGTAGTTGCGATGCACAAGTCGTCCAAAATTCAGCGTTCACTGATGCGGATATGTCTCTAGGTGATTACTTTTATGGCATTTTTCAGTTCAAATTATGTTCATTTTGCTTACATTTGCTTTGCAAATTTTATGTGTAGCTGCTTAATTCTAATTTCTTGATATGCCAAGATAGATTTTAGCTGAAACATTTAGATGTCATAACTGATTATGATGTTTACAACTTGATTATGAAAATAAATAATTTACGAAAACAAAATGACAAAAATGACCAATATATCAAAATTCAATTTGTTATGATTTGAATCATAAATTTCAAGTGAACAAACCTTAACGACAATTTAATTTGTTTTTTCAGGTGTTACTGTGGGTAATAGTTGCTATGATCGAGCGGGTGATATTGGGAGCTAAACTAAGATTTTTTTTTTTAAAAATTTTTTGAGGACTTAAATCTGTTAGTATTTAGTATAAATACTCTTAAATGATGGTTGATGGATATTTGTTTTGCTGTATGGACTTAATTGGCCACATGCCTTGGATACTAAGCTCCTTTTTTTTTCGTGAAAATCATTCGATAGGAAAGTTTCATTGACAAGTATGAGTGTATGAGCTTCTCTATAAACACTGCAACATTGTAATTGTGATTTTTTTTTCATACAGACATTCATCAATAAACAGTAATAAGCTCTACAGCCCCTTTTATAACATATTTGGGGATTCTTTGTTATATTTCCAAAATGGAATCTTAGTTAGCAAAAATAGCCTTGACTGCTCAAGTCAATGTGATATGTGTGTTTCAAAAAACCTTAATCGGTCATCTATTCAGATTAGTAATTAGCATTTTTTTAATAAAATTTTTCTATCCTTGAATTGCTTATTATTATTAATATTTTAGTTTGGTGGTACTACTCTCTTCTGATAGATTGGTAAAAGAACTCATTCAAAGGGGTGTTATTTAAAAACAGCATTGGCAAACTAGAAAATTATGAGTAAGTGGGACAGTTAGGAGAGAAAATTTTGAAAACAATGTCGACTGCATGATCTTGTGGTGTTCAGTTTAGGACTAAACAACACCTTAGGTTTTATGGACAACCCCATTCATGTGAATTCATGACATAGGAAAAAACCAAAATGTAGTTTTCAAAGATGTTTTTCTACCCTGCAGAAGTCGGACTGAGGAAGTTGCAAATTAGGTAGTTTTCAATGGAAAATTTTCTTTTTTGCTCCTATTAAGAAAAATTTTAGCAATATACACAACCTACAAATTGGATTTAGGCAGCAAAATCCAGAATCTAGGATCCTGATCATCTCTTTTTTCATGGATCGAATTGAGATCTCCAATTTATGATTGACGAAGTAGCTCAATGCAATGTTGTGAATTGAAATCGAGATCTCCACTTTATCTAGGAAATATATAGGATCAAAATCCTAAAGTTGAACCCCTTGTCAACTCCTAAAAACCACAGACTCTTTGGGGTTAAGTTCAGACCCTAAATAATTTCCCCAGCAAAATTTAATTTCTCTGCATTTTTTTTCTTTTCTTTCCCTTGTGTAGTTAACAAGAAGGAAAAAAAAAATTATTGCTTTTTTTAAATAAAAAGAAAAAGAAAACATCTTGGGACAATCATCCGTTTGAAATTATTTTTGCCATTTCAAGAAACAAGAACCTACTGTGACTGCAAGAGGTAATTGCTGAGAAAGCTATAAATGCATACTTGTCAACTATATAGTAACCACTTCCACTGAATAACCTTCTCTCTCTCTCTAAATTTTTTTTTGTGTAATTTAGAAATTTCTTCCACTCATAGGCATTGTATTTCTTCCTGATTTGTCAACTTGTGGACTTTGCATTCCTGAACTGAGAACAAAAATTGATATGCCTTTTATTGCTTGAAATGGAGATTGTTTATAAATACTTTTGATGTAATCACGTTCAATTCGATACCTTCTTATTGTAAAGTTAGAATTTTATTTGTGTTACAAAGTTGATGTTGTGTTAGAATTTAAATCTGTTATGGATTCAAAACAGACTGAGGTGGCTTCTACTGATTGGTTAGTGTTGTGGGCCGACTTTAGCATTGACCAAATAATGCAAGCCACCTCACACGATTGCAAGTCAGCCTTGAGAAGACTATGTTGTCACATTATGTCAATGATCCCATGTCTTTCTTTTTGAGGATGGTGACAAAGTCCATTTGTTGGATAACATGGAATCATATGAAATGAAAAGAAATTTTAGGAGGCAATATAGACCACATGATTATTCGAATTAAGAAGAAAAATATTATTAGCATATAAAATTGAGGGTAGTAAAGGAAGGAGCACCAACTTTCTTAAAATTAAAGAATATATGTCTAGTGTGGTTTAATTTCTCTATCAAGATGGTGACAAGTCCATTTTTGTGGTACTATGGAGCATGGAATCACATGATGGGAAATAAAGTTCTAATACAAAAGTTGGTCTTTGTTTCGTCTAGCAATTCATAGGTTTCATTTTCTAATTTCTGTCATGTTGAAAATCTCCTAACACATTATCAGTTTCTACATTTCCAGATGAATAAACTATTTGTGCTTGGAATGCATGAGAATGGCAGTGGAGAACTTAACTAGGTGACCTGCCCCAACCCAACACATATCTATTTACATATATAGTTATGGTCTGGTTAATATTACTTTTTCAGAACCAGGATTGGCTCATGGTCTGGGCTGTGATGTGGATGCTTTTCAATATGATCAAGTTTCGTAAGCCTTGCACGACTTGAGATAACATGATGGTAGCAAAGCAAAGCAACAACTTTGATCCTCGTGCTGCTGCTGCTAATTTCCCTTCAGGTAATGGACTTTCTAATTTTACCATCAGATTCTCAAGTAATGGCCTGTAGAAGAAACCCCAGAGATAACTCCAACTGTTGATGAAGCTGTGCTCTCACCAGTCAATCAAGACACTATCACTCCACTACCTTCTGAATCGGACACCATGGAACCCAAAGAAATGTTACTATCAGATGAAGAAAAAGAGAGGAACTCAGCAGAAGAAGAGAAGCTGGAGGAGTCGCCCATCGACGAGGAAGCTGCCCACAATTCCTCTGTTGTTCCAGCCATCTCTATTGCTGTCCGCCAATTTGGTCGCTTTCTTCGTGAACTATCTCACAGTACTCAATCCTCCCAAAACTGAGAATGATAGACCATCAAGCGCCATTATATATGGAAGTGGGATGAACATTGTTTTTGTGGGAGCTGAGGTGGGTCCATGGAGCAAAACTGGAGGGCTTGGTGATGTTCTTGGGGGACTGCCACCAGCCATGGCGGTAAGCATCTGTGTCCAGCTCTATTTTTTTTATTTACTATACTTGTTTATTTGCTACTATAGTTGAATCATCTTCTTGGTTAGTTTTGTGGTAAATTGGTAAAACATTTAGGATGATGAATTTTTAACTGATCTGATTTCTATGCCAAATCATCATCTAGGGCAAGGGGCATCGTGTTATGACAGTTTCCCCACGTTACGACTAGTACAAAGATGCATGGGATATTCATGTTCTTCTTCAGGTAAATTCTATTTTGTGCTTGTTTTGCCAAATTCCAACCATTTCAATGCAAGGTTAGGTTTTACTATATACTAGTCTAGCGAATGATTCTTGGGATTAGTTTCTTCAAAGATAAGTTTCTATATTGCAGATAAAAATTGGAGACCGAATAGAGACAGTTCGCTTCTTCCACTGCTACAAACGTGGAGTTGATCGTGTTTTTTGGATCACCCAATGTTCCTGGAAAAGGTTTATTTCTGTCCTCAATCAACTGTTCTCGTATTTAGGGGTGAACTATATATACTTTAGCTGTAATAGTCAGCTTAATCTTCATCCATAACAAATGATGGGTATGTATGCAGATTATCAGCCCATAAGAAGCTGGATCATCCCATAAGAATGGGGCAAATGGATATATTATGAGAATGACTTTGTTTTGGATATATTTGTTGAGATCGGAATGGGGCAAATGGATCATTATGAGAATGACTTTGAAGCAGATATGCTAAAAGATACCGCGGCTTATTATTCTCGAAAGGCTTCAAACTGGATCTTGGAAGATTCCTGTCCAGATTATATGTTGAAAGTAAACATCTATTCATTTTCTTTTTTTCTTGTTAAGGTCAGATATATTTGTTTGATAATCTGAGGAGTGTTTGAAACGAGAGAAGGATAGGGTTGCTCATTACCTACATTCTAGTAACGAGCTGAAGTTGCTTGAGGTTTGTTCTTCCTCTTGTAAAGTCATACTAAATTTCTTTCCACCTAATAATAATTAGTCTTTTAATGGTTACTTCTTTTATTTATTTATTTATTTTGAGGCCAATTTTGAAGATATGCACTTTTGCAGTTATAATTATGGGTAATTTTGACTCCTTATTTCCAGATAACTTTAAGTACTTATAACAGAAATTAGTATTTTTCCCTCCAAAATTCATTTAATTTTGTTATAGTCTTTCAAAATCTAAATAAGTTTAATTTGACTCCTTTTTGCACAATTTTGCTTATGTGTACATCTTGCATTCTCATCATTTGATGACAGCATGCCTAACACACTGCTACTGTAGTTATTCAATTGTTTAGAATGTGACCCACATCACACAAATAAATTTACACCATATATTGAAATCATGAACCTTTTTTTTTCTTTTTTTTTTAAAAAGTAAATAGCATTTTTTTTTCTCATGTTCAACCTGCATAAGTTTAATTTGACTCCTTTTTGCACAATTTTGCTTATGTGTACATCTTGCATTCTCATCATTTGATGACAGCATGCCTAACACACTGCTACTGTAGTTATTCAATTGTTTAGAATGTGACCCATATCACACAAATAAATTTACACCATATATTGAAATCATGAACCTTTTTTTTTCTTTTTTTTTAAAAGTAAATAGCATTTTTTTTTCTCATGTTCAACCCGCTCTTTTACATTTAGTTTATGAAATTGCAAATTTTAATATATAGCATAAGGATGTGACCAAGAGGCCTGTAGAAGAAACCCCAGAGATAACTCCAACTGTTGATGAAGTTGTGCTCTCACCAGTCAATCAAGACACTATCACTCCACTACCTTCTGAATCGGACACCATGGAACCCAAAGAAATGTTACTATCAGATGAAGAAAAAGAGAGGAACTCAGCAGAAGAAGAGAAGCTGGAGGAGTCGCCCATCGACGAGGAAGCTGCCCACAATTCCTCTGTTGTTCCAGCCATCTCTATTGTTGTCCGCCAATTTGGTCGCTTTCTTCGTGAACTATCTCACAGTACTCAATCCGCTTCAATTGCTGAGGTTTGTTGGCACATAGTGAAGGTATAGGTATAGTGGTTGCAAATTAAAACCACCCCCCAAAATAACATTCAAATTAACTGTCTAGTTTTGTTAATCTCTATTTTTAGTTTTTCTAGAGGGAATCTCTGAGTTCTATGGAAAATGATATAATATATTTTTCTCTTCCATGGAAACCAGGGCATCTCCAACACCATCCATGCCCAAAACGTACTTTTTCTAGATTTTTATGTGTCTTTTATGATATTTATGTAATCTGATCTTTAATTGTTGAAGTGGGTTTTGTTTTGTGATTTTTTTTTTCAATTGTGTGGGTCATATTCATATACAATAAATACAGCTTTGTATAATATTGGCATTTGGCAGGGTTGGTGGTGATGTTGAGGAAGTTCTTCCCCCTGTTCTTGATTCTAGCTCTGACCCACCTCCTCTTTTTGATGGAACCACAAGGTTTGCTCGTTTTCAAAATCTCACTCTTACCTTTATCTCCATTACATGTGTATTTCTATTCTATTATATAAATTGCAGGTGTGAATGTTTACAAAACTTAGAATTGTCAACTTAATTTTAAATTGTGAAACATAATAATAGTTAAAAGAAACTCAATAACATTTTCTGAATTAATGAACATAATGTAGGACTCAAGTGGAATCCGTATCAAGAGTATGTGTGGTCCCACGTGTTCAATGTTTCTAAACAAAACTAAGCTTTAAGATTTTCCTCGAGTTTCTTAATATCTTCATTGCATGAAGTTTTAACTAGATAGGATGTGTCCATGCATGTGTGTAAGTCAAAATGGATATTCAAGAAATTAAAACTCTCTCTCTCTCACAATATAATTGTCAAAAAGTAAGACTGTTGCAGGAATTATGATTTGTTACCATCACATGGTCATTTGGTTTGACAAGCACATGGTGTATGGGTGTTTTTTTTTTTTTTTTTTTTCTAATAATATGTATGGATAATAAAGTTGGACTCAGATGGAGTCCAGATCGAGATTATGTGTGGTCCCACGTGGTCAATGTTAGTAAATCAAACCAATCTTTAAGATTTTCCTTGAACTTTTCTAATAACTCCATCACCTGAACTTTTAATTTAATTAGGAAAAAAAAAAAAAAAAAAAAAAAAAAAAAAAAGTTAGGATGTGTCCATGTGTGCTAATTTGGTTTAATAATATATATGTGGTTTTGCAGCGTTATACCTCATACTTAAGGGAATTGCATTATATTCACAAAAATTATGCATGCAGAAAAATCATTGCCAAATGTGATTTTATAAAGGTGTGGTCAATCTTTTGGCATTATGTTCTTAAACAACTCTCTTTGATTTAAGCTTTATGTTGTATGCATGTTGGTTTGTAATTATTCTTTAATGTTTCAGTGGGACAGCGATTTTGATGACATATTTCAAAGACTCAAGTCACAGAAAAAATGGTCTGAATTCTCCGATAGCAGTCTTAAGACTGCTTTGATTGTAAGTCTGCTCTCATTTTATTTACTTATTTTTCTGTTTTACTCCATTGTCATGGATTTCTATTACTATTCATTTTCAATTTAACTCATGGACTGTCCCATGTTTGGTTTAAACTCAATGAAAAATGGTATTTTAGACATTTTATGTACACCTACATTGAATTTAATGACTAAGATATTCTTTTTTAGTCGGTTTTACTTAATGAAAATACACTTATGGTTTGGATTGAAAACAAGGGCTTTTCCCATATTAAATCAATTTATCATCTTAATTCCTAAACTAGACCTAGTTTGAACGGAATTCCCAACTTAGGCTAAAATGCTATTACAAATCACGCTTTCACTATTTGGGGCCGAAAATTTGATCAATAGTGAAAGCACTTTTAGAAACCACACTTTTAATTAAGAAAGCGTGGTTGCAAACCACGCTTTTAACATAAATTTTTTTTCCTGAAGAAAACGTGGTTCTAAACCACGCTTACGACCTATTGTCTTAATTTTTAAAGAATATATAGTCGAGAGGAGACATTATCAGTGAATTGACAACAGCCGTGGACATAACCTAGTTTTGGGGGTGACGTTTGTGTTCTTTGTGTCTGTGTGTGATTTATCATTCATGTGCATTTGTTCTTCTTTTCCATCTTAAATGTGTGTGATTTATTATCACTCTAGACCCTGCTGCAAAGTGGGTGCTTGTGCATTGGGTACATCCTTTTTGAGTTATGTATAGAACAGCTTTATATGACATACATTTGTGAGTGGATTAAAATTTAGCCTACATTTTAGCAGAATATATTCGTGGTGCAATTTTGTGTGCTAAAACATCAAGACAGATGAAGCAAATGATTTGGTTATCAAATTCCACAGGACACACTATCAATGTCTGAACTTTGAATCATGCCAAGTTAATATGTTACTATCACTGTTTGAAATTTTTTGCTGGTTTTCAATTGGGATACATGTGCGTGTGTGTTTCACGTTTGTGTGTGTTTCTGCGTGTTCTCATGCATTTTCTGATCACCATGTTCCATTTTTATTTCCTGAAGGTTGTACACCTCTTACATTTGTCCATATGATCACCACGTTTATGTATAGAACAGCGTGTTTGGATAGCACGGAATTACAAGGTTGTGTTAAATTTTATGGATAATTTTTCTGCTCTACTATTTCTTTTCTTTTTTCTTTTATTCATGTTACTGCAATTCTCGATTTGAAATTTCTTTACTTCTTTGTGCAGGGTCTGCAAGAGAAGATCAAATTAGTTCCTATTGATCTTCAAAATAGGCCAGATTGGTACAAGGAAAAAGTCTACCCACCAAATAAGGTTACATTCTCAACCATAATTAATTGTTCGGAAAATACTGTTTGGTAATTTCTGTGTTCCTCACTCTCTTCTTAAAATTGTAGAAATTTATATCTATCAAAAGAGGAAAAAATCACAAAATCTGTTGAGAGCCCTCTTGTTTCATGGATTATGATAAATTATTAATTGAAATAAAATTTTAACATTATTAAAAACTGTTAATTAACTTGATGATTTGTTAATAAAAGGATCTATTTGTTATGAAATTAGAAACCTTAGGGGACATAATATAATTTCTAAAACCACAGAAAATAATTTATAATTTAAATAAATCTCAGGGAATGTGTTTATAATTTACCCTATTTTTAATGGTGGAAGCATCTCTTTCGAAGCCTTGTCTGATCTTATCAAGGTAAATGTTGCATTTTGGGTGAAGAATAAGGATAGCATCAGTGCACTCTCTCTATTTGGTTGGAAGATTTGCTGAGCAAAATGAAAATGAAAATAAAAATGAAAATGAAAAATGAAATAGAAAGAAAAAGAAAAAGGAGAAAGAACTAATTAGTGTGTTTGGTTTGAGTTTTTTGAATTAAGTTTTTTAAAAATTGAGTTTTTTGGTTTTTGTTTTTAGTGAATATTTTAAAAATTTTAAACATTTTTTTTTTTAGATACATCTAAGTTAGGTATGTCTAAAAATTAAAAAAATTGCTTAAAATATTAAAAAAATTCAGTAAAAACAAAAACACACAGAAAATAAGAGAGTAGAATTTTCTGAAAAGTGTTTTTAGAAAAGTGAAACCAAGCAAAGTGATAGGATTTGAAATACAAGCAATGTTTGGTTGAGTTGGGAAATGGAGAAAAGAAAAGAGCATAAGTGAACTCAAAAGACAAAAAGTAAGATTGCATTTTCCTCTCGCTTTCTTTTCTCTTGTATTTTCCATTATAGCCAAACAAAAGTGAGAATGCATTTCTTTTTTCTTTCCATTTCTCCCATCAAATCTTTTAACCAAATACAACCTAAATCATCTCATTTTTAAATTACATCACGTGGTGTCATGTTAAATTGGAATTCATTTGTCTAGGATATTTAGCTTTCTGGTTGTTTTGTTGTGGTATGGTCCATGGCATCTTGCCATTGCCAACTTCTTAGGGTTGCTCCTTGTTCATGCTAGTGATTGCATATGATTGGCTTGATTTGTATGTACTAACCTAATTGGGATATACCAAGTCGGCAATAATGCAGTTTACTACCTTAGCTTTTTGATGTATTGATTCCCTAATTTTTAATTTTTTTTTATCATTAATAAAATTCTATTTTTTGCTGTTAAAAAAGAGGTAGTTACACCCCAGTGGAAGGCAGAAACAAAAAAAATACAAATTTATAAATTTTATTATTAATATTTCCAAAGAATAATATTAAGAATCGTGAAAAAATATCATGAAATGTATTTTGAAATTTTTTCATCATTTGATTAATGTGTGGTGTTTTATTATATGTGTAATCCAAATGTGAAGAATATTTCATGATCATTGTCATGATATTTTTTTTTTTTATGATTCTTAACATTACTCTTTGCAAAATTTTTCATTGATTGCAATTATTTTTTTAAATACCCACTGATGTGATATTTTTCCTTACAACAATAATAATAATAATAATAATAATAATAATAATGACGATGATGACGGCCATCCTCCTAACAATGACAGATATAATAAATGTGGCTAAAACTAACAGAGTTGAAGGTTTGACCAAAGGGTTTGGACAACTTGAGAGAACAATTGAGGCCCTGTTTGGGAACGAGAATTTTAGCTAAAATAATCAATAAATATAAGAAAAATTAAAATAGTCAGTAAGACAAAATATTACATTTTACAAATCAATCAAATTTTTTTTTTCTCAACCAACTATTTTATTACAAAAAAATTCACAAATCATTCCAAATATAACTTCTTTTTCATCTCATAAAATAGTTAAAAGGCAAAAAATCAACTTGCCAAATTCCCAAACGATGCCTTTGTGCAGAGGGACCAATAGATGGTGACCTTGAATTCATCGGGTTTCTCCACGAAAACACCCCTCGTTTCAATGCTCTCACGGTCTACATAGAGGTACTTACCACATATATTGTGACATTTATTATATATATTCGTTGCTAAATACTTGAATTTTTCCAACACAAAAAATATGTTCTTCACAAAAAGCATATCCTGAAACACTTTTTGACATCTTTTGAGTGTTGGCAAAGAGTTTTGCCGTTTGCTTTTTTGACTAAACCCTCTCGTGTATGTTATTGCAATAGTAGTACTGGTACTTTGGTCATTGTGTCATTTTGATCTTTATAATTTTAATTGATTCAATTTTGACATTGAATTTATAATTTTATTTCAATTTAGTCCAATTAATTACAACTTTTATATGCATATAAGTGGTATGTGTCATATTTTTAAGAATAAATTATAAATTTACTAATCTCATGAGTTAATCTCAACTAATTTAGTTGTTATTTATGGTCAAAAACATTAACGATATTGTCATTAGATCAAATTAACGCAAAATTTAAAATTGACGGTCAAAATTGTACTAATTGAAAGTGTATAGATCAAATGATACAAGGGGCAAACCGTAAGGACCAGTAATGTAATTTACCCTTTCTTTAAATACAATTATGATTAGATAATGTGACTATTGATATATTATCCAGCTTAATTATTTTTGTTTTATCTGATTGGTGAGTGATAAAAATTAAGCGATTTAAATAATCTAAAAAAACTCGAAGTAAGCCCTACCCAAGTACCCCAATTCTTAAAAAATGTGGATATGTGAACCATTTTGCATGAATGAAGCTTTTGTCGTAAATGCTAACCGTAATCACCACAAAATATCAAGGTTTTAGGGACTAAAATTTAAGAATAAATTATTTTTTAGAGATCTAATATTTTTGTTGTGAAAAATACCGTTATTATATTTTTAGTAAAAAAAATTTGACATTAGTGATGAATTATTATCCTTTTGGGACCAAATTTTTTGTCTCAAATAATAAATTATTTTGAGACCAAATTATTTTGTCCATAAAAAACTATTTATTAGTAACATTTTCAAAATTTTGTTGCTAAAAATCTTATTTTTAACTTTTTGAGACGACATTTTAGTGATTATCCCCACGACGATAGAAATTAGTTCCTAAATGTCTTTTGTAACAAAATTTTCACTTTTAGAGATCAACACATTTGATTTCTAAAATTCTTATATATCGTAGTGATTGAAATGTCAGGATTAAAGCTCCAATATTCCAATATTGTATGGGTAATAAAATTTTACAAATCTTTTTCTTTTTAGCACCAGTTTTATGGGAAGTCAATTCCATTTGGAGCAATGGAAGAAGCCTTGAACAATGAGACAACTCGAGGTTATTTCCACTCAACTCAAGTTATAACAGGTTATGCAAAAGTGACTTTATACTTCAAAAAAAAATTATTTGCACACAAATCTCCAGTTATCGTTATTGGAGGATCATATGGGTGATTTACTATAATATTTACAGCCATTGTTGAATACTTACATTTTGGAAGAAGGATTCCTCCGGTCTAACAGTGGATTGGATAGTAATATCTGGGTCAGTGGTGTTAGTGAAAATGTATGATTTTCCACAAGTAAATCAATCAATGAAAATAAAAATTAATGCGGAAAAATTAAATCAACGATGACACAAGAATTTTTATGTGGTTCCCTCAATGTGAGGTACGTCCACGAGATCGAAATCCGATTTCACTATCGACCAAAAAGTTTCCAAACGATTACAAACTAGACACGAATGGTCTCACAAAACTATCTTCAGGTGAATTCCAAATAATCACAAATAAACAAGAAGAAAGTTCTCACCAAATAAATGAACAAAAGTTTTCGAAACAGAATTGAAGAAGACCCAAAAATAATAACCCAAATCAATCCACACACTGCCTCTACGTCCAAACAAACTTCCAAGCATCAATCAGAATCAAACCATCTACCGAAAGAAAAGCAATGTTATAGCTGCTCCAACACACCCACCCACGGGAAAAGCAAAACAATATCAATCAAACATTGTTAATTCTTGAGTTTTATATCAAAATCCTAGTTGCAACCAAATTGATTATAAAATACCTATTGGGCCTTCGAAAGTTAGATATAATATATTAAAAATATATTATAACCAACACCAAACCAAATTAAATTCTTTTAATAAACCAATTGGGTCCCATACTCCACTAAGGAGGCATACCCAACAATTTTTCCCCTACCGACTTAGGGGGAGACATCAACCATACCCTCCAAAGTTTGATACTTTAAATGTTTGTCCCTCAACAAAGCCTTAGTCAACATATCCGAAATATTATCATCTGTGTGAACCTTTTCGAGTTGCAACAATTTCTAATCTAACATACCATGAATCCAATGGCATCTCACGTCAATGTGCTTTGATCTTGAATGAAAAGTAGAATATTTGTTCAAATGAATAGCACTTTGACTATCACAATAAAGCACATACCTTTCTTACTTCAAACCCAACTCTTGCAAAAATTTCTTCAGCCGTAACTCTTCTTTACAAACTTCTGTAATGGCAATTATAGCACTTAATGTCTTTCTTTGAAAAAGAACCGTCTCTTGATTTGTCATGGTTTTGGTCACGACCATGAGGAGTCTCACTCCTCCCTATTGTTTTACTTCGGCCTCTCATAATAAATGCCTCTGAATGAGAAGAACCCGTTAATTTTCTTCTAATTTCTTTATTTAACAAGCTACTAGTGACTTGGCTAATTGTGACAACTCCATCGAGTGCCGAATTACTAACCGTCACAACCAAAGTCTTTCAACTTTCAGGCAAGGACTAAGTAGCATCAAAGCCTGCAACTCATCATCAAAAACAACTTTCATAGATGCAAGTTGGTTAACAATACTTTTAATTTCATTCAAATGTTCCGGAATAGAGCTGTCATCTTTATATTTT